CACGTGACTTGTACTATAGTTCTTCCGTTCCGAGTGAGTCCCTGTTGTTCCCGTGATCCTGCAGTACAAATGTCCTGTCCTAGCCGCCCGACGCCCAAGTGGGTCGGTTAACTGTTATCCATGCATAACGGGTCGTAACAGTATGTTAACTTCGCGTTGCCTACCTATCTCAAGCTTTGCTGTCTTCCTGCTGGTGATCTACATTTCCTAAGTGATCAATTCAATATCAACAACTATTATAAGCATTACTTGCGATCTTAAAAGTGTATAAAGTCGCTAAGGACTAGTGAGTACGCTTATGCTATGACCTCGGGCCAAATCTTAGAATAAGTTGCCAAGGGCTTGATTACACCTTCGTAAACTGATTCTCGAAAGCGAACGTCTGAAAAGACTGGCCTAGGGCCGAAAGAACAGTCCAGACACCTTCTCACAACATCAGCAATGTTTGGCCCACTTTCACCCAGAACCTTCTTTGCCCATCTCTTAGCTGTCAACACATCCGTGATCTCGTTCGGCTGGCCGTCTCTGAGATAGTCATTGCGGAAGGTACAGTGCCTGATGTCATGCCCAAAAATAAGTTCCAGAACGATGATTCCCACTGCGACAAGATAGTCGCGGACCTCCTGCTCTGAGAGATTTGTGACACAAGCCGATGTCTCTGCAGTGGAATCTCTGAAGCTGCGAGACAGAAAGGGGTGACAGCTACTGAGAGTTTGCGAGTCGTTGTCGACCAGGAAGTAAAAGTTGTTTTTGGTCCATGCCACGGACATCCAAGGTGAGGGATACGCATGTAAAAAGGCTGACGACATGTGAGCTGCCATCTCGAAACGAGTCTGTCTTGGCAGACACAATTTCGCTTCATGATGTGCGTGTAAGAGGTCGGGAAGAGACACCAGCCTCATCTTGTCAGATATCATGCGCCGCAAGACCGATGAGGTTTTGTCAACGTGTAGCCGTCTGTTGAGCTGATCATCCAATAGACCCTCCCTCAGTGATGTCTCCTCCAGAAAGGCGCAGAGACTTTGGATCTGCTGCTTGCCGGGACAGTCCCCATCGGCCTTGAAGGGAATTGAAGGACTTGAATCTTCCATCGCACGTTTATCCACGGAGGTTGTAACCAATATGGCAGGAGTGAGCTCCGCGAATGTGACGCTCTTGCGACTCGGGCTGGTAGGTGAAGTCGTTGGTGAGCCTGGTTTCGATTGCAATCTTAGAGAAACCTTGTCTATAAAGCTTGGCTTCACCTTGCTGTACTGTAATTTGTCGTCTGTAATGCTTTGCAGCTTAGACAGGTTTGCCGATCCGTGTACGGCCTTCACATCGGCCGAGGGAGTTGAAACCTTCGGCTCCACGGTCTGAATAACGACCTCGTGCGCCTTAGGCTTCAATGAAGAGCTGTTCTTCTCCCCGGTGCCCCAGACAAGGACCACAGATGAGGCTTCAGGAGCACCGTCACTGCACAAGCGCAAATGTGCTTTGTGGCCATGGGAACAAGAATCTTGGGCGCATTTCCAATGGTGCCTCAAGGCGTTGTAGACAGAACATGCGTGCTGGCGGGCTTTTTCAAGACGTTTGACCGGCTCGGACGTCTTTCTCCGATCGGATATGGGAAGAGTGCGCTCGCTGTATCCCAGGATCTCTTGCATCACTTGATTGAGGCCTGCCAACTTCCGCACCTTCTTGTCTTTTCCCTTCGAAAAGCTGAGCTGAAGCCGCTTACAATGCCATTGCATAGTGTTGTGTTGTGCCGTTCCCAGCCAGGGTGCCTGAGTTCAAGAATTAGACCAAGCTTAGAAATTGATGACACCCTGAGCAACCCACCTTTCCGTCTTGAATCTGGAGAAGCTTGTTCAAATCCATCATCACATCTTGCATCCTCTTGATTGTGCGAAAGAAGCGATCCAGCTCACTAGACAAGCGGTTCTCGAGAAGCGCTTCGAGGCTACCGTCTTTCCAACGCGAGTCATCGGGATTTCTGATCAGTTCCATCAGGCTGTCATTATCGGTAACAATTGGGTCGAGGAGTCGAATCAGATTCTCGTGATATTTCATCATTTGGTGCCTGATGTCGTCGACGAATGCAATGAAGTGGTCTCGAAAATGCCACCAATTTTCTAAGGGCCCTAATCCTTCCCGATAATAGTCGAGGCAGTTAAGAAGGATCGGAAACCCTCCTAATACTACACCAGCAATCTCGAATGCTGACATCGTGGCAGTTGTCTGCTATCCGGAGGTAAATTTTCGTCTGTATTACGAAAATTGGGCAGAAAATAGCCGACCCTAGAATTCATTAGCAGATTACTTCGTCGAAATAGCGTCTTTGCAGTTATTTCGACGTGAGCGCCGATAGGAGGTAGATATGTCAACGCTTAATAAAAGGGAAGATATTACCGCAGTTGAACGGCTCGACCCAGACAGGTGGAGGTTGTTTAGAGTAACTTTGCTGAAGGTGATTTCTCCCGTTGAACTTCAGCGTTCGAAGTGACGTGTATCGTGGGTCTTCCTGAAGTCGAATTCGCAGAACCATGGAAGTTGCATCGGCGAAGGATTTCTTTTTCCGTCATCTCCAGGTTCCAGGTGAGGGGTAGCCCGAGGCATGCAGACTTGACAAATCACGTTCACGAAGATGGCCAGCGTGACGGCATGCATACGCAGCCTGATTCCACGTCACACAATGAACTTCCGCTCCACAGGCAGCCGTAAGTAGAAGAAGATCTTCCAGTTTTCAATCCCTTTTCAATCAAAGCATCTTCGCAGCCAATTGCGAGAATTTCACAGGCTCACGTCAGAAGCGCCCCCCGAAAAGATTTCCCAGATGGCTGAGTCTGAGATCTCCCAAGTCGCCCGAGCCTGTCACGATGGCCTTTCAAGCCTGGCCAAAGAGTCCAATCACGTACAGGCATCTTTGAAAGATGGTCTGGAACAGAGGGATGTACAAGAGCTCATCCAGCGATTCGAGCAATGGGCAGGGAATCTTGGCGTTTTCCAACAATCGAGCTCCAAGCTATCACTCGACTACCGTCTTCGCGATAGTCCGAAAGTCAGGGCTCCGATTTTGAATATGCTTGCGGACTTCAAGGAGTCCACCGACCTCGGTAGGTATGAACCCTTACTAGCTTACCGCAAATGCTAACAAACGTCGGTGCAGCTGCAGAAATCGTCTCAGGCCATCGTCCCAACAGGGTCATGCCAACGCAAATGGTCATTTCAGACGCAGATCTCGAGGAGTTTGACATCTCATCCAGCAGCTCTGAGTCCGGTGCCTCTTCAATTTCAGGTCCCGACATCGAACGCCCGCATGACCAAGCATCCGAGTTACAGAAACTCATATCAGCAATGAAGACCAGCCTCGAAAGCTTGTTCCGCGCTTCGGTATTCATCCGTAAATTTGCCCCCAAGGACAGACGCCAAAAAGCCTCTAAAACGAAGCCTTTCGATAGCAGCGCCGATATCATGTACATCAGAGATAAATATCCGACTCTTTGGGGTAAGGAAGACAGGTTGGCCACCCGTCTTGGAGAGGCCAATGCCCGGCGAAGACAGTACTTCAGGTATCGACAGCAGCATCATGAGAAACTATCTTCCGAGGCGGATGATCTGGTTCTGACTACAAAGAATACTCATCTACGTACGGACTCTACGACTTCCGGGAAGCACTCCCGCCCAGGCAAGCCCTTTTTATCCGACATCACCAGGCCCAGTATTCTCGCAGAGACAGAAGCCACCGAATTCCAGGGTAACCCCTTGATGAATACGCAGACTTCGGGGCTTCTGAGCCTGGAGCCAGCTATGTCAGTTGTCTCAATGGCAACCACAGTCGTTGAAGCAGCTGATACTGAGCTTCAATTCCCGCCTATACCAGAAGAAGGGTATCGACATGCTTCATTTTTGTGCCCTTATTGCTTGGAGGTCATATCCTGGCAATACAAAAACAAGGAGTCACAGTGGAGGTACGCGCCCAATTATTGCACAGTGATCAATCCTATGATGCTAATGTCAATAAGGAAACATATTATCCAAGACCTGGAACCATACATTTGCACTTATCCAAGCTGTAGTATTGACACATTTTCGTCGGCTCACGCTTGGTTCGAGCACGAGCTGTTGCTTCACCGCACAATCTGGGAATGTCCCTCATGCACCGACACATTTCAGAACTCCGAACACCTTACCGAGCACATAGACTGTCACCACGGGAGCCACATACCAGCGAACCAAGTACAATCAGTTGTCAATCAATGTCGGCGGCCTACTAGATTCATTGAGGCTTCCAGATGTCCCTTTTGCGACGACGAATGGGCCAGTGTCGAGCCACCTCCTGGGCGCGACGCCGAAGACACTGTCGTGTATGTCGAAGTACATCAGTTTCGCAAACATGTCGGTCATCACCTCTTGCAGCTATCCCTTTTCTCTCTTCCTAGACTGCATGTAGGCAACGATGAAGAATTCAATAGCGTTGGTGCTGTTCCAGACAGGAATTCTCAATCAGATGCCTCGTTCCGATCGGGCAGAGAAAACCTGTCACGGGGATGGCGCATTCTCTTCGACAGATGGACCACTATTTCTGCTTTCTCATTCTTCATCGGCATCCATGAAGCGCAGAAGAACGGCAAGATTTCCGCAGACTCCTTGGCAACAGTGGATTTCGAATCATTGCCCCCCAGTCACAAGGACGAAGGGAGTGATTGGACCATCATACACAATCCTACACTCCCAAAAATGTTCGATCTCGAACTGCTGCATACAATTGAATTAGATTCCTCGGTTGTTGGCGTATGTTTCAGCCCAGGCGGGGATTACATCGCGGTCTGCAGCAACCAGCGAGTTCAAGTTTTCGCTGTTGGAACCGCGGAGGCCGTGTCTATTTTGAAGTCCGATGACGCGATCGATATCACCAGTGAAGACTCAGGTTATATGTATTATCGAAGAGCCTGCTTCCATCCAGAAGGCAAACTACTGATTACGGGCTCGGATGACAAGTTCGTGCGAGTAAGCTCATCCGAAACCATATCTCCTATGACCAGAGGCTCATCTGATTTCATAGGTATTCGACATCGATTCTCAATCCGTTTTCAAAACCCTCGCAGGCCATGAAAGAGGGGTTAGGTCAGTTTATGTCTCCGAAGACGGCAAGTGGATTGCCTCTGGCGGCAACGATTGCACTGTCCGCCTCTGGAGCACCGTTACCTGGGAATGTCACCGGGTCATTGAAACGCCAGCCGTCGTGAACGTGGTTTCAATTTCTCCAAAATCCGATTTTGTAGCGGCTGGCTGCTACGACAACCTCGCGCGTGTCTGGGAGATAGAACCAACCGTCGATCCGATATCCGGAAGCGAGGATACGGACGCCTGGACCTGTGCAGGCCACTCGGATACCGTTTGGTCCGTCCAGTTCTCTTCCGATGGGAAGCAAGTCATCACAACCTCTTCAGACATGTCCATCAAGCTGTTCGCGGCTGTAGGTCAATATGAGCATTCGGCTGGTGGTGGTGGTGGCTCGCCAAAGTCCTTAAGATGCCTGAGAACATTAATCGGACACTCGGTATGTCGCGTACCATCACCCAAGTATACACTACCTATGGTATGTCTTGAAAACTGACCTTCTACATAGCACCTCGTGTTGACGACAGCCATGATATCGAATGTCGCATGGCTGTTGTCAGGTTCAATGGATAAGTCTCTACGGTTTTGGGACTTAAAGACCGGAAAGGCACTTGCTAAACTCGAATGCCACGAGGATTCGGTCATAGCCACAGACGTGGGGCCTGAAAGAGAGAATGGTCTGCTTTTTGCCACTTCATCAACTGATAAGAAATGGCGCATATGGTCGCTTACTACTAAGAATTAAAGGGACATTGTGATGCTCACTAGATATTTATACTGAGCCCTCTGTTCCAAGACCATAATCTCCGACCTAACTCGACGAAATGTTAGTTTTAGGGTTCCATGAGCTAAATCCTTTAACATGTTTTAATATTATTCATTTGAATGCAGTCCATCAATCAACCACGAGTTTGGAATACTTATTGATTTCCTACAATGCTACTGTCGCTCAAGCAGCGGAATACAGTTTGCCATGTATCTTTCCTTGTTGCATTCTCACAGAACTCTTCAAACCTTTCAGGCATTCGGCTGACATTCTACACTTTCTCCTTTCTTCAGGACTACCCTTTGCGTGAATCTAGTACCTAGTATCATTTAAATAAGGGTCAGCTATTTTCCTCCTCTCAACTTATCAATAGGCCAAAAAGGTAGGGGTTTACTCTCGGACTCTCCTCAAGTTACAAACAAGCTACCAAGGTTCAAATAGAATTCAGTAGGGTTTAGCAATCTTCCATTTAATAGATTATGAAATCTCAGGTAGTCTCTACTTTAAATACTGAGCGATAGTTATTCAAGAACTAACCTTCAACTACCTCAGAGTGCTCGCCTCTTATTGATTTAGTTGCAGACAACATATGTTCGTTGCCCATATGAAAACGCTCAGAGTAACAGAATCAGCAGGGCAGTATTTGTCACATAACCACACACATGAAGCTCAATCAAAATGCATCCGATACCAGCAGAAATTTCGCAAGACTTCTACCAAGCGCTACATAACGTGGTTTCTGACCCAGAGACTTCATTCTCAAGAGGGGCTGGACTGGAATTTTACCTGCGCCACTGATGTCTCGTCAAAAATCTCTTTAGCTGATTCGTCTCCCCTTACCTGATGCATGCTTCGTTGTTGCGGAACTGATGTAAAGGGAAGAAAACACATGCCAGGCTGCCGTATTCCATATTGCACGACTTGACAGGCCGCGCGCCAAGAGCGCTGCCTGATGAGGGGATATATACAAGGATTCAGGCGCTAGCCTTTCCCTCCGCGAACCAGAGCCACGCTGAATGCCCCAGTGATGTTCCGTTCAAATTTATTGATTCCCGTCAGCGATGTGGTCATCAAACTGGCCTTGCACGTGTCGCAGCCTGATTCAGTCATGCAACTGACGAGTAGGTAGGCCGTTTGCTCCGCCCACCAGGATTTTCTTCGCTATCTTATCTTTTCATGTCGCTGTCTACTCTTGCTCGTTGTATTTGCTTCAATCCATTCTTCATCATTTGAGCGGGCCTGCACGAATGACTAAATAACAGATAAAATGAATAAATGAACAATGCATGCAGGAGGGTTAGGCTAGGTGGAGGTACTAATGCAACATTCGGGCTTACGTATATCCGCAAGAATTCTTCAGGCTTTGTTCTCAAGTCAGGCGTCAATCGTGGGGTTCAGTTCTTACTTCAAAAAACCTGTGCCGTCCTGATGATTTGAGGTAAGCTGCCAAATATTCCTATGACCCGCCTGACCACCTTGCTCAGCAGAAGACCTCTAAACTCTTCCCAACCTCACGATAGACGCGACTGACGCGACTGACGCGACTGACCCAACCGACACGACTGACGCAACCGACCGACGCTACCACCAACGAGACCAACGCCGCCGACGCGGCCGACGCAACACTTAATGCGACACCGAGTATCAGCGTGAGATCAGCAACAACCCCACCTTCCTTTTACAACGATCGATGGAATGAATAAGATTCAGATGAAGACGTTATTAATTCCCAAGCTGCTTAAGAGGTGTTAAAGAGAAGTAAAAATATCTTAAAGCGCGATATAGCAAACGCTTATTCTCGTTTAAACCTAAAAGCAGTGTTTGGCGCTTGAGAAATAGCAGGAGTTAGGCAACCTAGGCTTGTAAGAGGCTAGTTAGGATATGGTCGCTCTACTGGTTAATATGTATATTAAACCTGGAGAGCAAAAGGCTGTTTATATTCATGACTCTAACAATGATTAAGTTGCTACGGTTGGTAGTGATGATTATATAGGGCATTTTGTTATAATACTATGGGAGGCTGGGCTGAAGTATATTTGCTATGGGCCATGTTAGGTTGCTGAAGTTACGGCTGTTGGAGAGAGTTCTGTATGACCTGTTATAGGAGCTAATACGAGCGTGCGAGCACAATCTGAGATCTGTCTATTGTGTATAGGTAGTCGCACCCTGCGCTGAGTGCGAGGGATGACTTAGAAGCCGTGAGACTCTAGTTCTAGGCGTAACACT